TATATATATAATATATATATTGATAAAAAACAGGAGAATATTTTCTATCCAAAATAATGACATTACTATTTTTAAAAATTCTTAGATCTTAACACTATGAATAGCGACTATGAATAACGTTTCTTTTAAAGATTATCACTTCCATAATTTTGAAAATTGATTAATTTAACATGTTAATATCAACAAATGATCTTTTAATAATAACAAACAAAGTTCTTACTGGGTATATCATATTTAAGAGTGTGTTGCACATTTTTTGAAACATTTGACAAATTTTTTTTCTTTTAATATTTCTAGTTTTCAGAGCATTATTTAGGATACCTTTTATCTTACTTTTTTCAACAAACAAATTTTTGAAAAAAAATGCTTCTTAAAAATTCATTTTCTTATTGTACCTTTTTTATTAATAATAATACAGAGTATCCGATAAGTTTTGACAAAGTACTCGTGTAGACAAAGTGGACTAAATTGAGTCGATATTCTTTATCATTTTGCAATTTTCGCAATAGTTAACAAGATATTAATTAACTAAAAATTCTCAAATATGATTGATCTTCAATAATTTTTTATTCAAATACTATCAATTTTATAGAAAAATAGCAAGAGAAAAAATTGTTTTTCTTCTCATAGAGCTCTAAGAACTTTTTCAGAATTTTTCATCAACTTTTTAGCACTGCATTTTCTTATTGACAACTATTTTTATCAACATGAGAAAATACGGTGTTAAAAAATTCTTTACAAATTCTCAAAATTTTATGAGAAGAAAATAAACATTTGATGCGCGCGCGCGCGTTATTCTAGAGTTAAGATTAAAAATTATCTTAGGACATAGTTCACCTGCTGAGACAATTGATGATGCGTGGTATAATCAGTGTGGACGGGCGGTGGACCTGCAGTATGTAGCCCTGCGACACCACCAGCAGGTGGCGCGTATCCTCTAGGAGCAGCACCCACCAAAGAACTAACAATTCCGTGATTTGGATGTGTTGGATGAGCAGCGGAATAATGACTGTGATGATGCGTCACCTAAACAATACATACAATAAAATAGGATTTATTTTATAAAAATACATTGATCAAAGATATAATGCAGTAAGAATAAAAAATTGTGTATCCAGCAAAAAATAAAACTCATTCTCTCGATCATTCATAATGGGCAAACTTATTGTCGACTTACCTGGCACGAGTGTCCGAACGGATGCGTTCCGTGAGGTGTGTATAGACTGTGAAGCTGACATGGAATTCTGTAACCAGTCGCTTGTGGATGCCACAGTGGCTCTCCACTAACGGCGACTCCTAAGCCAGACACGCCGACTTGACCTACGTCGACGACCACGGGTGCGTTTGCACCCTGCGTGGGATGATGTCCAGTACCACCAGCCGCCGGGTGTGGATGAGGATGTGCCTGATGTGCATTGTGGATGTTGTGGTGGGAATTGTGTAAACTATGAGGATGGGAACCGTGGATATTGTGGTGCGAATTGTGAAGGCCATGATGGGAATTGTGAATGTTCTGATGAGGATTGTGTCCTGGCAGAAACGGATAAGAGAAACCTAATGATTCCGTGTATCGCTGATAACGATTCCTAACCGTTGGACTGCCGCGAGTGGATATATGATTGCGAGGCGAGCGTCGTTGTGGCGCACCCCCGAATTCCCAAGGCGGCGGAGTTGTGTGCAAGGGTGGCGTCGGTGCTGGAGGTGTCGTTTCCCGAACTTCTATTCCAGATACGGCACCGTTACGAGATATTCGGCGACGTTTCCTCGATGGCGATTCGCTCTAAAAAAACATCGTGCTCTGTATCGCTTATACATCCTTATAGATACATCCTTCATTTCACTCACTCCAAATGTGTTGATTAGGGAAAAGCTCAGTTTGCTGACAGAATCTTAAAGAACTTGTATTGATTTTAATTAGTGAAGTAATCGAGATTGAATGCGTTAAGCAATCACATTATAAGCAAAATAAACTTATTGTAAAATAAAACTTCGTACTGATGTAAATCCAGTACTCGGTTTTTCTAGATTTCATTAAGAACAATAAGAAACATACAATTCTCTTATAAAGAAAAGAAAAACATTATAAACTCAAAGACTTAAGAAACTCAAAAATCTATTTTTAAATTATTGAAACTCTTGAGTATTATATAATATAATATATACAATTTATTTAATCAGAGTTTTTAGTTGATCAATTCTTATGATGTATCGAGTTCTTTTTGCACAACTTCGGCAAAAAACATATAATACAAATGATTGAATTGTATTAATACTGAAATATCATTTTATCTGTCGTCACAAATGCGCAAAACAAAATAGTCACTTACTTTTCTACCATCATCCTGACTAGGCTGTCTGTAGTAAGGCGGCGACGGTTGAATCTGCACGGGGCTCAGAGGTAGCTGATTTGTGGCTAAAAGCAGAAATTTATTGTCTATTTATGTAATTTTCCCCGCAACAACTGATCATTATGCGTGTGCATGCATTCCACGAAAATTTTGCATGTATTTTTTTTAACGAATCGGAATTATATGGATATTCTTAAAATTTTATCGTTCATTCGCGCTGTCACTAGCGCCTGCGGTTGACGTACCAGGAACACAGAAATACTATGCGATTTAATTCGACGTTTAAATGAAAGAAATGACGGAAATTCAACGTTATGTAAATTTGAAAGAATCGCATTAATCCTCGCGCTCATATCTTCAAGAATGTATTGATCCGGACGTGGAACGAAAGACTATTTGTAAGAACTACTTTTGCCAAATCAAACTAATGCGACAAGAAAGGAAAAGCGAAAAAAATCGCATGCGGATCCGAAGAAAAAACTTTCGTTACGGATAAACGATTGAAGAAGCCGTACCTTGAGAATTCCTGCGATACTCCATGTCTACTCCGCTAGCTCCGAGGCCAGGACTTATGTTCAATATAGGGCCACGCATTGTATTGTCCTGAAATCATAGTGGTCATTGCAATTAAGCGACCTTCTTGGAAAGGAGGAAGAGAGAGAGGGAGGAAG